GCCAGTGATGACGAAATTGAAGAATTCTACAAACTTCTTCATTCTGAAATTGATCAACCATACCATCAAGATGTATTGATGATTACTGGTGATTAAAATGTTAAGTATGGAGAAAAAGTGGAAGGATCAGTAGTTGGAAAATATGGCTTTGATGATAGAAATGATGATGGAGATCACATGATAGAATTTTGCAAAGCACTGACTTGTTCATTACAAATACTTTTTAAAAACAACATAAAAGATGACTATACACATGGACCTCACCAGATGTATTCACACAGAAAACAAATTGAATACATCTGTGGAAAGAGACGGGGGGTGGGGAGAGGGGAGTAAGCTGCATATCATCAGCCAAAACATGGCCAGGTGCAGAATATGGAACAGACCAACAATTATTTATATGTAAGTTTCAGCAGAAGCTGCAGAAAATTAAAACAAGTCCATGAGAGCCAAAATTTGACCTTGGACATATCCCACCTTAATTTAGAGAGGGACAGATTTTATGCATCAGACACTAATGACCAAAGACCAGAATAGTCGTGGGATGAGATCAAGAATGTCATAAGGGAAGGAGGCAAAAAGTCATTAAGAAAACAAAAAAAGAAGGAAAAGACCAAAATGGATGTCAGAAGAGACTCTGAAACTTGTTCTTCAGTACAGAGATGCTAAAGCTAATGAAAGGAATGAGAAAGTAAAAGAGATGAATAGAAAATATCAAAGGGTAGCTCAAGAAGATAAAGTCAAGTATTATAACGAAATGTACAAAAACCTGGAGTTAGAAAACCCAAAGGGAAGAACATGTTAGTATTTTTCAAGCTGAATAAACTGAAGAATATATTCAAGCTTCGACTACCAATATTGAAAAATTCTATGGTCAAAATATTGAATGATGCAAAAAGCACCCAAAGAAGATAGAAGGAATACATAGAGTCACTGTACCAAAATGAAATGGATGATGTTCAACCATTTCAATAGATAACACATGATTAAGAGCCAATGATACTAAAGGAAGACGTCCAAGGTGCACTGAAGGCCTTGAAAAAGAACAAGACTTCAGAAATTGATGGAATACAAATTGAAATCTTTCAACAAAGTGATGCAGCACTGGAGGTGCTAACTCATCTATGACAAGAAATTTGGAAGACAGCTACTTGGCCAACCTATTGGAAGAAACCCATATTTGTGTCCATTCAGAAGAGAAGTTACCCAATAGAATGTGGAAATCATCACACAATATCATATTATCACATGCAAATAAATGTTTACTAAAGGTAATTAAAAAATGGCTGTAAGAATACATTGGCAGGGAACTGCCAAATGTTCAAGCCGGATTCAGAAGAGGACATGGAGTGAGGGATATCACTGCTGACATAAGATGGAACTTGTCTGAAAGCAGAGAACACCAGAAAGATGTTTATCTGTGCATTATTAACTATGCAATGATTTTCAACTGTGTGCATCATGTCAAGCTATGGACAACATTGTGGAGAATGAGCATTCTGGAACACCTAATTGTGCCCATGAGGAACCTGTACAGATACCAAGAGGCAGTTATTCATACAGAACAAGTCAACACTGAATAATTTAAACTTAGGAAAAGTGTGTGCCAGGACTATATTCTTTCACCATACATGTTTAATCTGTATGCTGAGCAAATAATCTGAGAAGCTAGATTATATGGAGAACATTAGCAACCTGTTTATGCAGATGGTACAACCTTGCTTGCTGAAAGCAAAGACAGGTTAAAAGACAGGAAAAAAAAAAAAAAAAAGATGAATATCAAAGACCACAGTCTTCAGTATGGTTTGTACCTCAGTGTAAAGAAAGCAAAAATCCTCAGCACTAGACCAATAAATAGCATCATGATAAATGGAGAAATGTTTGAAGTTGTCAATGACTTTATTTTGCTTGGATCCATATCAACACTCAAGGAAGTACCAGTTAAGAAATCAAGACATATTGCATTAGGCAAATTTGCTGCACAAGACCTCTTTAAAGTGTTCATGAACAAGACGTCAGTTTGAGGAGTAAAGTGTGCAGGACCCAAGCCATGGTAGTATTTTCAATAGCTTTATATGCATGTGAAAGTTGAATACTGAATAAGGAAGACTGTAGAAGAATTGATGCATTTGGGTTATGCTGTTGGAGAAGAATATTAAAAATACCATAAACTGCTAAAAGAACAAATTTGTGTTGAAAGAAGTACAGCCAAAATGCTCCTTAGAAGCCAAGATGGTGAAACTTCATCTCTCATATTTTGGAGATATTATCAGGAGAGACCAATCCCTGGAGAAGGACATCATGCTAAGTAAAATGGAGGGTCAGAGAAAAAGAGGAAGATCCCCAATGGGATGGATTGGCACAGTGGCAGCAGTAATGGGTTTAAGATTAATGATTGTGAGGATGGCACAGTACTGGGTGGTGTTTCGTTCTGTTGAGCAAAAAGGTTGCTAAGAGTAGGAACTGCCTTGAAGGTACCTAACAACAACAATTGATTGATTGTTCCACAGTCTGCCCCTACTCTTGTTTTGGTTTCTCTATCATCTTTTCCCACAGATGTATTCAATTTGATTTCTGTGGATTCCATCTGGTCAGGTCCATGTGTTTAAAAAAGGTATTTGCAATGAATAAGTCATTGGTGGTACAAAATTCTATCTTGCGATCTCCATTTCTATCACCAAGGCCGCATTTTCCAACTACTGATCCTTCCTCTTTTCAACCTTCACATTCTAATCACCTGTAATTATCAATACATCTCGACTGTATGTTTGATAAATTTCAGACTGAAGAAGTTGGTAGAATTCTTCAATTTCTTCTTCTCTGGCTTTAATGGTTGATATTTAAATTCAAATAATAGTGGTAATAACTATCCTTCTCAAGTGTAAATTGCTACAATTTGATGTACTTGACCTTTACTTATATATGTAGTAGCTCAAAATATCAACTGAGAGGGAAGGAGTCTTCACATTAAGGATCAAACCTATCCCCTCAGTACACAAGGTTGATAGGGGTGGACAACTTAGACATTGGCTACCTAGAATGGGGTTATAAAGGCATGAAATGGCTGGCTTACAAGTTTTCAAGAGGGAGTTTAGTTTCAGAGTGAGCAGGGAAAGGTAGAATCCCCATTGAATAGTTTTCATTTTGTCCAGATGGATTTGGTGGAAGAAAATGAGGATAGGATTCTTTTGATTTAATAGTGAGTAATTGTTCTCATGACTAATTGCAATCGTCACAACTGTAAAAGTAGAAGTTGTGTAACAAAAAGTGGGGAGTAGTAGATCTAACATTCCAAGAACAGAGGACATTAGGACCATCAAAAGAGAAAAGCATGAGTGGAACATGGGACTCTAACCACAGAAGCAGTGGCACCAGAGATGGAGGCAGAGGTGATGGCATGGAGAGATAGAGCAGCTGAGGACTCTAGACTCATGGAAAGAGAAAGACTATGTGCTGGCAGGCAAAAGGCTGGCTTGCAAAATATGCTCTTTGGTTGTTTAAATGATTGTATATTCCTGTGTGTTTTTGTGTACATAAAAAAAGAGGGATTAGAAGCAAATGCTGTTAACTGATGGTGCATGAAGGGGATTGTAATCATTTCAATGAAACAAAATACTCATGGTTGAGTGCAAAACTGATATTCTCCCATGTAAACTATTCACTCAATTCACAAGAAAAGCTTTAAAAACAAAAAAAGAAAGAAAAAAGAAATAACTGGCCTTCTTGGTAGGCATATAGATACTATCCTATCAGAGACAGCATTGTTCTTCAAGATAGATCTTGAAATGTTCCTTTTGATAATAAATGTGATGCCATTCCTTTTGAATTTGTCATGTCTGGCATAGTAAACCGTGTGATTGTCAGATTCAAAATGGCCAATACCAGTCTATTTCAGCTCACTAAAGCCTAGTATATAGATGATTTTGTGTTCTAGTTCATTTTTTATGACTTCAAATTTTTCTTGATTCATACTTCACACATTCCCTGTTCTGAGTATTAATGGATGTTTACAGCAGTTTCTCCTCATTTTGAGTTGTGCCCCATCAGCAAATGAGAGTTGTGTCATCATGATCAACGCTACTTTGAAGAGGCAGCTCTTTCCTAGTTGTTTTGTTTTGTTTTGTTCGAGTGCCTTCCAACCTGAAAGAGCCCATTGTCCAGCACTAAATCTAACAATGTTCTGCTGCTATGCATAAGGCTTTCAGTGGATACACATTCAGAAGCAGTCTGTCTCTCCTTCTTCCTAGTCTGTCTTAACCTGGAAGCTCATCTGAAGTCTGCCCACCATGGGGAGCCTGCTGGGATTAAAATATTGGTGGCATGGCTTCCAGCATCACAGTAACATGCAAGCCACCACAGGACAACAAACTGATAGACAAGTGGTGGTTACTCTCTTTTACAGAGAAGAAATAAGGCACATAAAGTTTGAGTAATTTTCCCAAGGTCCCAGAGGTAGAAAAGGTATAATCAAACTTTAAACTGAGTCAGTCTGCCCCCAAGTTCCATGCTGTTGATCACCACATTATTTTGTCTTTTTGTTTTATTTGTGGATAATGACTGGAGCCCTCAAAGAAGGTTCTGGGGAGGCAGGTGGAAAGGACACCACCTAGCTGCAAATAACATTGACCAGAGAGTGTGGTTACATTGGCTGTGAAGAACCTGGGGAGGAAAGCATTGACAAGTGGAAATAGCCTTCCATTAAGAGAACTCGCTATTCTTTTCTGGCTTTGAAACATCTTGAAGCCTCTGTCTGATAATGACATAATCTTTAAGGTACTTTCCAAAGCTGAGAAGTTGTGAAAATGAAAAACTCTGGAACATCATTAAAGTAGACAATGACTCATGTTGAGGGCCAGGAATTGTGCTTGCTGGAAGATTTATGGAATAAATCAGGAAGCATATTCTAAAATAAATAGATCATCATGGAAATACCAAGAATTTATAACTACAGTGGGTCACTGTAGGTTGGCCCATGGCAGTTACCAGAGGTAAGAACTTACCTTGAAGAGTGAAGTTCGGCCAAAGAAATTAAACAAGATGGTCTGTAAGTTGTTAAGTGGAATTCTCTCTTTCACTGATTTAGGCAAATATATAGAAGCCAAAATCTTCCCCAGGGGGACTTCACCTAGGTAAATCTGCCATGAAATGCCAGAAAAAATATTATGTTTTCATCCATCATAGTAATTTCCCCACCCCAGTCCCAACCCCAGTGTCAAAGCTGTAGAATGGTAACTAGCTTCATAATCTATGCTACACCTTTTTTACTCTCTCTGTCATTCACCCTTGTCTTCCCACAATCCAAGACATGACCAGGTACAGACAGGCACACACACACAAACACATTTTCCTTATCCATGCTTCCTACTGGGTAATAATAGAGGTGGGAAGGGCAGTGACAAAATATGTGATTTGTCCTGATTCTTAGAGGTAAAGGCCAATCTCTGAAATCAGGCCGCCATCCCCCATATGTGTCTGAGAGAGGAAATCAGAGGGAGAAAAATGATGTAGTAGTATTAGGCATCTTTCCCATCGTTTATGGAGCAATGTTAATGTCATTGAGTTATATATAAAGAAATGTTAAAATGGCAAATGTTTTATTACATATAAATTTGCTACAACTCTAGATAGATGGAAAGAACCGTGATGGTGCTATAGGTAAGAACTGGACTTCTAACTGGATCAGTAGTTCAAACCCATCAGTCGCTCCATGGGGGAAAGATGAGGCTTTCTGTTTCTGTAAAGATGTACAGCCTCAAAAACCCCATACAGCTTGCTATGAGTTGGAGTTGTTTTGATGGCACTGAGTTTTTAGATTGATAGACAGAGTGTGGCAGAGATGTGAGGAAATAGCCCTCAGGAATTCTTCTAGAGACCCACTGTCATTATAATTTTCTGATTTGACTGGTATTTTATAAGTACTGGAGCATTTCTGAGAGTTAAAGACAGATTTATCAATAATGACACAGGAACCATAGTTGTAAACAAGGACTCTCCCAAGCACAGCAAGTTGCATGGGCAATCTTGTATAATTCTCTCATTTAAACATTCTATTAATCTTTATTTTTTTCCCAAATGGTTATTTTATCAAATTGCTTGAACATTAAATTTATCTTTGTTTGCAATCCAAAATAGTTACCTGAAGTTTCCTCGTGTGTGTGTGTGTGTGTGTGTGTGTTTACTTTTTTGTATGTTTTCCTAAGCTCTTTGACACAATTATCTGGGGGCGTTCAGACTGCCACAATACAAGTAAGGAGAAAGCTTTCCTTTTCCGCTGCCAATTCTGAGCATTTCTAACTTTTGGGTCGTTTGAGTTGTGACTTTGTTGTTTCTTAAGTCTGTATTCTTTATTTGTAACAACTGTATTTTTTTATTTTTTCAATATTCTCTAGCTCCAGAGTTTTCTTTTTCTTCCCCCACCCCTACTATATTCACAGTTTAATCATATTATTTGGAAAGGTGCCTTGATGAAAATATCAGGATGGGAGTTTTGACAATTTGCCAGTGTTTTCCCTAAAAGATAATAATTAAAAACAACAAAAAAACCCTAAAGAGCGTCTTTCCTTTTTTTTTTTTTTAACATCTTTTGTGCTGCATTAGTAGACAGAACTTCAGTTAGTTTTATGAAATGCAACATCTAACCTCCTTTCTTCTTCCTTTTTTTTTGTGCAGAGAAAGAAACTGCAATAACTTGAAGTTGAGACTGTGGATACCGCCTCACTCACACACACTCATTCTCAGACTGAAAAGAATCCCTCATCCTCCTTTTAGCCAGCACATAAAAACTCGATTAATCTTGAGCGGTATGTTATATTATGACCCTTTAAAGTGATAACAGGAAACGAAGGTTTAGAAAGGATAATGACTTGCTTATGGTCACAAAACTTGGATATGTTTTAACAAAGATATAGACCAAATCTATGTGACTCTGGCTAGTGTTTTTTCCTATTATTCATGCTGTCTCTCAAGGAAATGTTATCTCACTGGGTTTGTGTGCTGTGGAACAATGAAAGATTTTAATATTTCTAAAAATGATAATGACTTTTGAACCTAAAAGTCATATGGCTCTTCACCTGCACAAATTAACTCATTAGCATGAACTCGATTGCTAGAGTAATTGAGTATGATGGTGAGGTAATGACTTAGCTTCAGCACTTAACAAGTTTGGTACCAAGAATGTGATTGGGACTGGTTACCTTGTTTCTCCACCAAGGTTTATAATAGAAAACCAAGAAGCAAACCAAATGCAATGGCAAATCAACTTTTGCTTCATGTTTTTCTAAGTAGCTCCTATTGGATGTGACCCTTCTGCAGAAAATAACTATAAACTCTGGACAAAATGTGAGCTAACAATGACTTGAAGGCACAAAAGCAGGCATAGTTCAAGGGTTAAAGCCAACAGAGGTAAGTACTGTTGTACATCTAAACCATGGAAACAAAGAGGAAGGATCAGTAGTTAGAGAACATGGCCTTGGTGATAGAAATGATGCTGGAGATGGCATCACAGAATTTTGCAAGACCAATGACTTATTCGTTGCAAATATCTTTTTTAAACAACGTAAAAGACATGAACCTCGCCAGATGGAATATACAGAAAGTAAATTGACTACATCTTTGGAAAGTGACAGCAGAAAAGCTCCATGTCATCAGCCAAAACAAGGTCAGGGGAAGACTGTGCAATAGACCATCATTGGCTGATTTGCAAGTTCAGGCTGAAGCTAAAGAAAACTAAAACAAGTCCACCAGAGCCAAAATATGACCTTGAATATATCTCATCTGAATTTAGAGATCATCTACAGAATAGAATTGATGCATTACACATAAAAGACTGAAGACCAGAAGAGTTGTAGGATGACATCAAGAACATCATACAGGAAGAAAGCAAAAGGTCATTAACAGAAGACAGAAGGAAAAAACCAAAATTGATGACAGAAGAGACTCTGAAACTTGCTCTCCAGCTTTGAGATGCTAAAGCAAATGGAAGAAGTGAGGATGTGCAAGAGCTGAACATAAAATTTCCAAAAGCAGCTCAAAAACACTAAATCTAATATTATAACGAAATGTGCAAGGACCTGGAGTTAGAAAAACAAAAGAGAAGAACATGCTCAACATTCTTAAGCTGTGTGACTTGCAATATCGAAGGCTTCTGTGGATAAATTATTGAATGATGCAGAAAACATCAAAAGAAGATAGAAGGAATACACAGAGTCACTGTACCAAAAACAAACAAACAGACAAAAAAAAAGGTTGATGTTCAACCATTTCAAAAATTGCCAATAATCCTGAAGGAAGAAGTACATGGTACATTGAAGGCACTGGCAAAGAACAAGGCACCGGGAATAGACGGAATACAAATTGAAATCTTTCAAGAAAGTGAGGTGGCACTGGAGGTACTTACTTATCTATGCCAAGAAATTTGGAAGACAACTACCTGATCAACTGATTGGAAGAGATCCGTATCTGTGCCCATCCCAAAGAGAGGTGACCCAACGGAATGCAGAAATCATCAGATAATACCATTGATATCCCATGCAAGTATTTTGTATTACTAAAGGTAATACAAAAAAA